TCCGAGTTGATGATATTTTTTTTTATTATTTGAAGACAATGAAAGTGATGATGATTAATACCACTGATTCAACTGTTTTTTTTATTAATGGTTTACTAGTTTTATTGATTATATTAGTTTTACGGTTTTATGATTTTTTTAACCTAAGATACGAAGATATTTTAATTTAGTTTGTTACTTTAAAGTTAAAAACTTTTGTTGGATTTATCTATATAGTATAGTAAATCCAAAAAAAATTGTTGTGTCTCCGGGTTTATATATAGTGGTGGTTTTTAAGGGTTTGCGTTTTTTCGAAAAGTTGTCTTTTCGTAAAAAAACCCGTTTGGTGGTTGTTTCTAAAAATTGCATTTTTTTATATAACCGTTTTGTCAAAAGTTGCGTCTTTTCGATATAACCCTTTTGTCAAGAGTTGTGTCTTTTCGACATAACCGCTTTATAGTTATTTTTAAGGGTTGCGTCTTTTCGAAACAAATCGGTACGCTTATATATATATCATTTAAATTTTTATCCAGTTGAATATTTTGTTAATCATGCCTACTAATTTTGTAATTTACTTAACACATAGCAAAGATAAAAAAACGTTGTTCGATTATTTTCAAATTATTTAATAGTATTAATCTTTTTACTATTGTAGAAGTTCCAAAAATTTTGAATTTTTGATTTTTTTAGACAATGCAGATTTTATGGCAAATTTTACATATAAAAAACTAATAAAATCTCCAACTATATTTTTCTCAGAAATAGGTGGTACATATAGTGAATTTTTAGATTTAACAATTCTCTACGGAAACATTGATTCTTTATATTTGAAAGAAGTTTTTACGGGTTGTACACATCAAAATATTGAAGTCGCGTTAATATTACTATAAAATAGAGGCATCGACAACCAATTTGGTTATCAACTAAATTTTTTTTATGCATTGGACGATTTAAAAATGCTAAATTACAAATGAATAAATTTAAATGGCGTATAAATCCATGAATTGTTCTATTCGTTAGACGAATAACTATGGTTCCAATCCGTGAAATGAGTGAGGAAGGAAAATTTTTTTTTTGTGGGCGAAGGGTTGCGCTTTCTCCATATAACCGATTTTATAGGAGTTGCATTTTCGATATAAACGCTGTATGGTTATTTAAAGATGTGTTTTTTCGGAAATAACCATTTAATTGTTATTTCTAAGGGTTGCGTCTTTTTGATATAATCGCTGTCTAATTATTTCCAAAGGTTGCATTTAATATGTAGATAATCGCTTTATGGTTGTGTTCTTTCGAAAATAATCATTTTATGGTCATTTCCAAAGATTGTGTTTTTTCAATATAACCACTTTATGGTTATTTCCAAGGGCTGCGCATTTTCAATATAACTCGTTTATGGTTGAGTCATTTCGAAGGTAACCGATTTCCAAAAATTGCATATTTTCATAATAACCACTTTATGGTTATTTTGAAGGGTTGCATTGTTAATGCTAGGGTTGCATTTTTTTCGATATTTCATTTATAATTATTAGTGGGTCTAAATGGTAAGCCTTTTAGAAATTGATGGAATATACATGAATAGAATATGGATAAATGGAATTGAAAAAATAATGGAATAAATCTATCAAATTCATTCCTCATCAAAATTGTAGAGGAATTTTTTTTTTTGAATTTTAGTGTGAAATTGATTATTTTTGTGTGGAATAAGTGGAATGTTCATTCCATTTTTTTAAACACAAATGGTAAATTTTTGTGTGGAATAAGTGGAATGCTCTATTCCATTCATAAAAAAAGACATCCATTTGCATCCAGTAACTTTTAGGGTTGCGCCATTTAAAAAAAAAACGTTTTTTGGTTTTTAATCTCTTTGGTTGCATCTTTTCGAAAAACACCGCTATATAGATTTGTGTTTTTCTAACTCTATATATTTGTTTCATTAAATATTTTTTCGTTTATAAGTACTAACTTTAAAATTCACTCAAAACTTGATGTGATAAAAAAATGTTAACAAATATTTTTGAGTCTCACAATATTTTGTTTCTTTATTTAAATAATAGTTCTAGAAAATATTTTGAAGGGTCTATCAATAATAGCAATCCTGTAAAATATATTTTAGGGTTGTTTCTTTTCAAAAATAATCGTTTTATGATTATTAATTCATCTTAGGATTGCATCTTTTCTAGAAATTTCATTTAGTGGTTATTAATGCATCGTTGGATTGCGTCGTTTAAAAAAATTGATCTATGGAAAATTGCATCTTTTCAAAAAAACTGTTTTATTATTAATATGTTTCTTATCGTTGCATCTTTTCGTAATAAGTATTTTATGGTTATTAATACATCATAATTATATCTTTAAAAAAAACCGTTTTATAAATATAATGCATTATAGGGTTGTGTCTTTTCGAGAATAAACCATTTTATGGTTATTAATGCAATTTAGAGTTGCGTCTTTTTGGAAAAAAAATATTTTAATAGTTATTAATAATCTTATCTGGTTGTCTCTTTTTGAAAAAATGGTTTTATATTTATTAATTAATCATATAGTTGTGTCTTCTTTGAACAACTTATTTTTTTTTTGTTAATTCATTATATGGTTGCGTCACATTCTCATAATTTTTTGGTCTTATCATTTATAACAAATTTTCCATAATTCTAAAAAATAGTTTGTAGCGTCGTGTGGTTGGATATACTTTTTCATTTCTTTTATTTTTTACCATTAAAATTTTATTTTATTTTTTTAAATTTACATTGTATACTTATTTATTATATATTAAAATATTTTAATTATTTTTTAACAATTAATTTTTTTCTTCCGCGATTTCGCGGGGGTCCAAGTCCTAATTTATAATAATATGAAATGGTGTTGTTTTT